CTGTACCAGTGTACCTGCACATGTGATGTGACAATAAAAGTGATTTGATTTGATTCTTGCCTTCTCTTTTTGGACCTGAACAGTTTCCATGTGGCTCGAGTCTCTTACATATTAAAGTAGTGACGAAGCTGATGGAAACAGAATATTTAAAATGACCACCACTCTGTTAAACTTAAAGCGTCTCACCTCTACATTGAGCGTGAAGTCTAAGCCATCCAGCAGAGTGACTTTACACTGCATGATCTTCACCTTCTTGACTCCTCTCAGCGGAGACCTAGACAGACGACTGGTGGATGACCTGTGGGATACCAGATCCTCTTCCTGCTGCTCCTGGCAAAAAGAGGAAAATGTGTCACTTAAAAATAATGAGAATAACACATTTACAATAACAGTTTTCTACATTTGGGATAGAGCTGAATGGAATTTCCTTGTTAAAAGTAATGAGCTGCTTCTACCTTGTCATGCTAATTGTGGATAGAAGCATTAACGTCTCTAAATGTCCACCAGAAGAAAAGTTTCCTTACCTAAATGACCGTTAATGTAAACCTAAAAATAGACACTGGGACCCTGACTGAGTGTAATCAGGTCCCACTGAGAACAGCTAGGGGTGTACCGCCATTTTGTCTTAAGGAGAGAAAATCCAATTTTCCACTTCGCTGAAAACAAAGCCTTTGCTGACTGACTTTATGCTGAATAGACGCCGTTGCTTCGAGATATTTTTCTTTCTTACATACAGTGAATTTAATTCCCCCCTTTTATTCTGATGAAGAACATTTCTTATCTTGCTCTTCAAGCCATTTTCATTGCATTGTTCCTGCAGTATCTACTGCAGCTCATGTGGACTACTCTCCCTGTAGACTCATTTTGATGTAGTATTAAACAATAGAAGCAGAATAAGATGACTCTAAAGAACACAAGAATGAAAGGTCAAGTTAACATTTCTAGGAAATACCACAAGACACGTTTCCCCCCCATTTGTTTGACGTATGACTGGTGAGAACAGGCACCACAGATGTATGAAATCACAGTTACATGTGCACCCTGCTGGAGAACGTGCCTCGCAGGGAAGGCCGACAGTGTTGTGTCAGACTGGTGCAATTTCCCCTCAGTCTTGCTCCCGGCAATTCCCACAGCTCTAACACTGATGGTGCATCACTGATCATCCTCAGTGTGGAAAAACAAGGGGTGCATAATGTTGCTGTGTGAATTTGAAAGAATCCTGGGGTCGATTAGCTCAGTGGGCAACACTGCAAGTTATAAAAGAAGATCATATATATGTATAACTATTCCCCTGGAGCTACTTGGATCTAGGAGAATAGCAATGTTCACTTTGGACCAAACCACAAACTGTAGCCTGAGAGGTGAAGCCAACAGGGAGCTGCCTTAGCATTTTCTCTAGTGGCCAGCAGGGAGCGACTCATCTATATGCAAAAAAGAAATCTCAGGTAGAAACCTGTAAGATAATGATCCCACTTCTCACTTGTCTTATTATCCCAGCAGGTGCTTTCCTAATCACTTTATGGTAACAATTGCCCATTCAATTGCTTCAATTCCTGATCCCGATTTCGATAAAAGCAGATGACGGAGCAGGAATGCTTTAGGACATGGCTATGCTGTGACTGAAGAGTCACTACTGTGTGAGCACGCAGTGTCCTCGGTTTCTCAGAACACATGTTTGTGCTGGCCATATTACACCCATCTTTTATATCCAGTCTCTGTATACATCTTAAATATCTCACCAAGTGCTTGACTAATGTCTGAGAAATGCAGCACAAATAAGCATTACCCTGGGAAGACAGGGTAGTAATTGGATTCCCAGTATTTTGAATCCAGCGCCATCAATAGTCCAAGATTTTTGGCTTATGACTAAAAACCCCATTCCTAAGGACAACTGAGGCCAAAGGGAATATGCTGCTCTTTTAGCAACGCTAAATAGCTTTATAAAGATTGCAGACACAGTCAAGTTTTAGCATCTGAATGAAAGCAATGCTGCGCCCATGTAAAGCCTAAAGCTGAAATTAAAATCTGGCTACCACAGAAGTGTTTAATGTAGACAAATGATATCAATAACATCAATGCAAAATATTGTACAAGTCAGACTTTGTTAACATGAAAACATGTCATTTATTTCATCACCGTTTCACCACATTACCCTGCATTGTATATAATTAATTTATCCATCACATCGCCCTGCGACTGCTGCTCTCTCATTACAGCCTGTTATGATTCACGTGTAAGCTTCTTTTCAACAAAGGCACCATTTAAATCCTTCTCCTTTCCACATCATGATAAGAACCTGCTGAATGAGTGGGGTTGTGAGCCTGAGCACATTCAAACTATGGTTACACGCTCCAACATGTTAAGAAGTTCAAAGTTCAAAGTCACAAAAAAAAAAAAAAATATTGAACATGGATTTAAAGTTTTCTGAGTGAGTAAACACATCCTAGACGTTTAAAGCAACACAAACACTATGTAGACTGGGAATGTGACCTGTTAAGTTGTTTGAGATGTAACTTTTTATATACATTTTCCACTAACTACCACAGTAAGAGACCACATCTACAAGCATGTGCGCAGCTGGTGAAAATGTTTTTCTTTCAAGTAATAAATTAGAGAAGAAGCAGGGATCTACCTCACACTGAACCTCTGTAGTTTGGAAGCACTGGAAATTCAATCTGCAGATCGATTAAATAGTGAGCCAGAAGGCTGTTTGGGCCAAAACCTGAAGACAAGCACTTAGTGCTCAGATAACATCAGTAGCTTCCCAGGCTTCATCAGATATAACATGGATAGGCTACAGGGTATAATATTATACTACCAGAGATCACTGTTCTCTGGTTTTAGACTCGTCCAGCTTCTTTGTCAAACATGTAAAATCATTTAAACATGTTCATGCGTCGAAGTGGTGTGCAATCTTACGGATACATTTTAAAATACACCAAAAGTCTTCATCATAGTTCAGACTCAACTCAACGGGTTTAATTCCAGGTTGTTCCCTAAATTCTTCCAATCATTGTCCCCACAGCTGCAGGAAGTTGCAAATTGGGAGAGATGGAAAAAACAGTCAGTACAACAAATGATTGTTGTGATGATTGCAAATAATGCCAGGTTTCTACTGAACTACATTCATAAGTTATTCAACATAACAGCAAGGATGGCTGTGGCATCCTTGCTGTTATGTAGACAAGTTATTTAGAAAACCTGTGAAAGAGGCAAAACACAAAGACGGCAAAATAAAACAACTAAAATCATCCCTCACCAAACTGCCCGTGCGTGTGGCCGATCAGTGACAGTGACTATATCTGTCAAACTGCCTTAGTTGCTGTAAAGCCTGAAAACAAAGCATCCACAATTGAAGGTTTCTTGATCTATCCGTCTTCCCATTTCTAATATATAAAGCTCTAACTGAACACCAGGCTTTCCTCACAAACAAACAAATGCATCTGACGCATGGTTGTAACCGCCATGGAGGACTGAGGTCACGTCTTCACATTCTCTCCCCCTCCCCACGTTCATTTCCATTTTTTCCTCACAAAGCCACAATTCATTCAGAAGAGGGATGAATGGTGTGTAATGTTTTGTCAAATTCAAAAGGATCTATACAATGTTTACACCACAAAAGAATCATTCTTAAATAAAGTGGCAAAGTTTGTTTTGTTTTTTCCTAATATTAAATTCAGTAAAAGTATGTTTAAAGGAAAATTATGGTGGATGCGATGGATGGATGTTCCATCTTTAAAAGAAGTGACAGTGGGTGGATGTGGTTACAAAGAGGCTGACCTGTTCTTTCCTGGCCGGGGTACTGTGTCCGACGGCGGCTGGAAGCTGCTCCGGTTGGTTCTGAGGCAAGGCGGGCTCGGCTGCCACCTGGCTGGGTTGGGATGCCGCTTTTGCTTTCCCCTTTTCTGTCTCCTTATTCTCCTGTGGCTGCTTGGCCTCCGAGTCGGCGCCTGATTCAGTTGTCATGGTAAATCACACTGGAGTGGAGGAAAATGGAGGGTAAAGAGGAAAAGTGGATGAGTCAGCTGACTTGTTATGAATTGATGCAGTGCCGCTTTTCGGGCCCGTCTAACGATAAGCTCCCCTCTGATGCAAATGCAGAGATGTGGATATTGTTTGACAGCAGAATAGGCATGAATGCAAGTGGCTTTGGTGCACTCACGTCCCCCTTTTAACTAATCACAGTAGTGTCAGTAGCTGACAATGCTAAGGGCTTGGACTGCTTGTACCATGACGTCAACAAATTCTACAATATATCCAAAGCTCACTAAGGGGAATTAAACAAATTTAAAATAATATCTGCAACTGTAACAAATATCTATTTCTGCAAGTATTTTTTTATAAATTGGTTTCTAAAATATGAGAAAAAATAAGTCTATGAAAATGTCTGAATATATTTGCCAATTACTTTTGTCAGTTTATTAATCAAATACTTTATGAACTTCTGCAGTTGTTTCACATTCTGATAAAAGCATCTGTGAAAAATTTACATGTGTAAATCAATTAAATTGGCCTAATTTGCTGATTAGGAGGAAATTAAGTGAGAAACCATAATAAAACGATTTAAATTGATTAAATATTTGAATGAATCCGATGGAAATGTCAAACATCTCAAGCTCTCCAGTGTGGAGTTCCACTATTTTTTGCACAAGACAAAAAAACATCACTTTATGCTTCCTACCTGTTGTTCAGACAATTTGAAGTTGGAAAATATTTTACATTTTCGAAGCAAATATCAAAAAAAAAAAAAA